GGCTTTTGTTTCCTTTTGAGGTTCTATTTGATCCCGTTTGATGTCCTACTTTGGTTGGAAGGTGTGCAGCCTGAAGTAGTTGGTAAATAAGGGGGACCTTAGTGATGGGGGTTCCTTTGGCAGTAAGGAATCCTCTCTTTTGCCAGACGGCAGCATGTGAATGAAGGATGTGATAGGCCTATTTGGAAAGGGTTAGGGCTCTGGTGAGAGCTTTGAGTTCTGCTTTTTGGGAGGAGGTTCCTGGAGGTAGGGGCCTGGCTTTAATTACTTGGTCAAGAGAAACAACTGCATATCCAGCAATTCTGGGGAGCCAGTGGGCCTGGAAGAGGAGGCCTCTATGAATAGCTGGTCATTGGGGTTGGTGAGAGGCTTGGAGGAAACGTTTGGGAAGTGTGCAGGTAGTCTAGGATGTCAGGGCAAGAATGAGTAGGAAGGGAAGAGCATACCAGGAGTAAGGATTCTGGGTTGAGGGGAGCACTTTTGGTAAGGCAGAATTTGGGATTTTTGATAAAGAGGACATGGAGTAATGGAATCTGGGAAGGAGGAGGAGAGCTTAATGCTTGGGAGGAGAGGGGATCTTGTAGATTATGAAGACTATATAGATGGTGGTATTTGGGCTGAATGTTCAATTTCCTGCTTTCTAGAGCTAAAACAGCCACTGCTGCTAGCGCTGTAAGACAGGCTGGCCACCTTTGACTGTGTTGTTGAGTTGTTTAGAGAGGCAGGAACAGGAGCAGAGGAGGGAGGATTTTATTTTTGCTGTCTTAAGACACCAAGGGCTATTCCTTGGTTTTTGGCAGTACAGAGAGTGACAGGTTGGGAGCTATGAGGTTAGGACAGAGCCGGTGCAGTGATGAGAGCGGTTTGGAGTTTGTGGAAGTTGGGGAGTATGTTATGTGAGGAGGTTAGGGGTTTACTGAAGGGGCCTTTGGCTGCTTTATAAAGGGGGTGAGCTAGGAGGGCAAAGTTGGGAGTCCTTATTTTTTTTTTCTTTTTTTTGAGACGGAGTCTCGCTCTGTTGCCCAGGCTGGAGTGCAGTGGCCGAATCCCAGCTCACTGCAAGCTCCACCTCCCGGGTTCACACCATTCTCCTGCCTCAGCCTCCCGAGTAGCTGGGACTACAGGTGCCTGCCACCTCGCCCGGCTAGTTTTTTTGTATTTTTTTAGTAGAGACGGGGTTTCACCGTGTTAGCCAGGATGGTCTCGATCTCCTGACCTTGTGATCCGCCCGTCTCGGACTTCCAAAGTGCTGGGATTACAGGCTTGAGCCACCGTGCCCCGCCGGGAGTCCACATTATTAAAAAGCCTGCTGGCCCTAGGAAGGAATGGATTTAGTTTTTTGAGGAGGTGGAGATAGGCTGTCTATTAAGGCTGCCAGTGACAGGGTCATGGCTCGAGATCTGGGCCATTCTTTGGAGGGGGTGACCCTATAGCCTTTATTAGTGAGGAAACTGAGAAGGGGGCAGTGTGAGTCCGGGAGTTTTTTAGGGAAGGGCTACAGAGGAGGTCATCTACATATTGAAGGGGGTGGCTGGGTGAAAGAGCCAAGGAGGCAAGGTCTTGGGCTAGCGCTTGCCGGAAGAAATGAGGGCGATCCCTGAAGCCCTGAGGGAGGACAGTCCACATGAGTTGTGACTGGAGGCTGTTGGGGTCAGTCTGGGTGAAAGCAAAGAGGTTTTGGGAATGAGGGTGTAGGGGAATGGTGAAGAAGGCATCCTTTAGGTCAACTGTGGTGTAGTGGGTGGTGTTGGAGGGGATGAGAGAGAAGTGTATAGGGGTTAGGGACTACAGGTTGAATAGGGAGAACAGCCTGAGTGATAGCTCAGAGGTCCTGAACGAGTTGGTATGAGCGTCAGATTTTTCAATAGGGAGGATGGGGGTGTTACATGGAGAGTGTGTTGGTCTAAGCAGACTGTGTGAGCAGAGCTTGTTTGTGATGGGTTGTAAGCCCTTTGGTGTGTTAGGGAAACAGGGTATTGGAGAATGTTGGGAAATTTAGAGCGTCTTTTAACAGGATTTTGATGGGGTCCTGGTGAGCAGCTATGGAAGGGGTGGTGGTGTCCCACACTACTGGGTTAATGAGGGAGGCGGGTAGCAGGTGCTGGGGAAGGGGGGGTCAGGGGCTGGACTAGCAGAGAGGAACAGGAGGGACTCTGGTTGAGGGGGACAGGAAAAGGTGATAGAAGCTTTGAATATAGTTAAAATGTCTTGGCCTAGGATTGGGGTGGAGCAATGAGGCATAAGGAAGGAGTGTGAAAAAATAGTATTAAACAGGGAACAAGTAAAGGATTCAGTAGCATGTGGATACGAGATGAGTCGATCAACCCCCACAACAGAGACCTGGGAAGGGTAAGTGGGTCCTAAAAATTCAGGTAAAGCCGAGTAGGTGGCCCCACTATCAATTAAAAAAGAGACTGGCTTACCTGCTATTAGCAGAGTTACCCTGGGCTCCAATGCAGCGATGGCGGATGGGGCCGGGGGCCCTGGGCTCTGTCAATCTTCAGTGGCCAAGCCAAGGAGCTGTGGGAGTGTGAGTGACTCTTCACTCTTTGCTTTGCCAGGGCCTTGAGGAACCGGCCTGTTAGTCTGCTTGTTGAGGACAATCAGACTTCCAGTGGCCAGTTTGTTGGCAAGCTAGGCAAGGAGTTTTTGGCATTCATGGGTTAGGGCATGCTCGGGCCCAACAGCCTTGTTTGCAGCACTTGAAACAGGGCCCGGGAGGGTCACTGCTATGGGGTCTTTTGTGCCCCGGGCAGCCTGAGTAGGCTGATGAATAGCTGCTGCTAGGAGCTGGTATTTGGCATGATCTCATTGGGCTTTATCTTATTTTGCTCATCTCTGTTGTTGAAGACCTTAAAGGCCAGGTTAAAGAGGTCTTGTTGAGGGGTTTCAGGGCCATCTTCTACCTTTTTGAGCTTGTGCCATACGTCAGGAGCAGACTGAGAGATGAAATGGATATTAAGAACAATAGTTCCTTCTCGGGAGGTGGGGTTAACATGGGTGTATTTTTGGAAGGCCTCTGTAAGGCAGGAAAGAAATTAGTGGGATTTTTGTCGGCCCTTTGGAAGATTTTTTTGAGTTTTTCAAAGTTACGGCCTTACGGCCACTTTGTTAAGGCCTCTGATAAGGCAAGTGATCACGTGATCACCAGATGCCTGGCCAGGTTGTGGGGGCTGGTACTCCCAGGAGGGTTTTTCCCAGGGAACTGCAGCGGCCCCTACGGGCTTAGTAGGCTCTTGCCGATGAAGATCACTGGCATGCGCCTGAGCTGGAAGCCACTCTTTTTTTTTTTTCCAGGAGAGTAAAAGAGGATAATATAGAGATCATGCCAAGTGAGCTATTTGATATAAGTGTCAGGATTGCAGGAAAAGGACCTGAGACGTTTCTTAATTTGGGAAAGGTTAGACAGGGAGAAGGGAATGTGGACGCAAATGACTCCTTTAGCCACCTCTCAGAGGGGAAGTAAGGGGGCCGACTGTTGGGCATGCTGAGTCTGAGAGTGGGTATGAGGTGGAGATGGGGAGGAATCAGAATCAGAAGCTGGGTGGTTGGAGAGAGGAAGAGAAAGAAGGCAGCAGCGGGAGTGTATGGTGGAGGACTGTGATGATTTGGGGGAGGATTATGGTGCTGTTGGGGAAAAGTCGGCAGGGTCAAAGGAGGAAGAATCATTGGGAGGAGTGGTGACGGGTGTGGGGGGTCTGAGAATGGGTCAGGTGTGGAGCAGGTGAGGAGGATCTGGAAAGTAGAGCAGGACTGACAGAGGGAGGGACAGCTACGGAGGGCAAACGAAAGCCCGAACATAAGGGATCTCTGACCACTTTGATTGCGATGGCAGAAGTTATCTTGGTACCCGAGAATGTTGAAATTGAAAGTGCTGTTTTCAGGACATTGGGAGCCATTGTTTAGTTTATATTGTGGCCAGGCAGTGTTCCAATAAAAGATGAGTTTTTTTTGGCTGAATTTCGGAATGGAGGCTAAGGGCGTTAAGGTTACAGAGGAGACACCCAAGCGGGGGATGTCTTTGAGGGAGTGGATTGGGAGGCTCCCACGGTGGAATGAGAAAGGGAGGGGTAGAGATGGGAGACTTGGCCAGAGACTAGAATGGTGGGAGAAGGCATCCCTTGTCCCATGGTTCAAGTCGGATAAGTGCGATTATCCCTGGTTCAGGCATCCCCGATAGGGAGACATCGAGGGCCTCCTGGAGGCCGGGAGGAGGAGGAAACCCTTGGCCCAGCGCTGGGTCTTTTGGGAAGGAAAGAGTAGACAAGGGTTCCAGAAAGAAGGCAAAAGTCTCCTTTACTCACCCCTCAGGTGGCCTTGGTGTTCGATGTGTTCGCCAGCAATGGAAAGATCCTTGGGTCTCCAGCAGGTTCTGGAAGGGGGAGTTTAGCTGGGGGAAGGAGGGAAGGAAGGAGAAAGGGAGAAAGGGAGGCCAAACTCTACCATCATCCTGGGTTTTGGCACCAGCAATCTAAGGTCAGCCGAGAGAAAGGATGAGGAGACCCAAAGTCAGGCAAGCAAGCTTCACTGAGCTGCCTGGCTGCTCTGCCAGTTAGAGGAGGCAACTCCACTTATAGATTATAGCAGGGTTTTATAGGGCCAGAACCAGGTCGGGGCTGGGGAGCTGAGTTGGGGGTGCAGGAGAACTGGGTCGGGGTGGGGGAGCTGAGCTGGGGGTGCAGGAGAACTAGGTCGGGGTGGGGGAGCTGAGTTGGGGGTGCAGGTGTCTTGTCGGCATCCTGATGTTTTTTGCCAGCTTTGTTATGTGAGGTGAACAGACATGTTAACCGCATCCTGTAACTGTCTGGACAGTTACTGGAGGGGACAGTGAAGGGTGGGTTTGTCTTTTGCCGTGGGGTAGCTGTGCAGAGAGCGCAAGGGACTGTACTGTAAGGCCTGTGGGAGGGGAAGGGAATGCTCTGGTCAGGGTGACCCTAACAGAAGAGTATTATTCTAAACACCTAGCTCATAAATCACTTACAAGTATATAAAACAACCACAAAGAGCCTCTCTACCAAGATTTTACTCACGCATCTTACATTTCAGTGTCTTTCACCTTTCATGGACAAGTATATCAGTGATGTACACCTAATAGAAGAGAATTTCTCATATCTCTGATGCAGCAACAACTGACCATGTGTTTTCACATCAGCACCAGAAATGAAGACACAGCATGAACTGATTCGAGGATTAAAAGACATCAATATTCGTTTTTCAAAAATTTAACATTTTTCAATGCAAAAAAGTGTATTTTGAATGTAATTATACCTCTACAAAAACTCAGTCTCATCCTCCTTTTAAACTTAAATAAGAATGAACGATCTATTTCAAGTCGAGATGGCTCTGTAGACTCAACACACGGATTCACTGTCATTTCCGAACGTGTCCATGCTCTATTCCTCTCTTCTTCAAATCCTCCAATGTTTACTTAAATTGAATTTTGCTTATTTTTCCCATTTACTGTATTTGCAAAATATCTTTTAGTATGAACTCTGATGTTTTCTAAGCTATCATTTTTGAACAAATGTTATTCCATAGTTATGATATATGTTGGGTTTCTCTACAAATTCTCTGGAAGTTTAAGCAACTGTTGCAAGTCTTCCATCTAGTATAAAATATAATTGTAACATTTTTTTTCAGAAGAAATACTCTTGTGTGCTCTGGAGACTTATATTTCATGAAAGGTCTTTCAATAGTAATTAAATTTATAATAACTTTGTTACGTCCAAACTGATGTAAAGTAGGATGCGAGCAGATACTAAAGGCTATGCCTATTTTTATATTTATTTTTTTTCTCAAGTATGAATGCTTTCATGTACAGTGAGGTGTGAGAACTGGGTGAAGGCTTTGCCACACTTTTCACACTTGTAGGGTTTCTCTCCAGTATGAATTCTCTTATGTACAATAAGGTTTGAGGACTGGGTAAAGTTCTTTCCACATTCTTCACATTTGTAGGGTTTCTCTCCAGTATAGGTTTTCTTATGTTTGGTAATATCTGAGAACCACATAAAGACTCGGCCACATTCTTCACATTTGTAGGGTTTCTCTCCAGTATGAATTCTCTTATGTACAATAAGGTTTGAGGACTGGGTAAAGTTCTTTCCACATTCGTCACATTTGTAGGGTTTCTCTCCAGTATGGGTTTTCTTATGCTTAGTGAGGTCTGATAACTGCTTAAAGATGTTGCCACATTCTTCACACGTGTAGGGTTTTTCTTCAGAATGAGTTCTCTTGTGATTAGAAAGGCTTGAGCAAGTTCTGAAGACTTTCCCACATTCTTCACACTGGTAGGGTTTCTCTCCGGTGTGAATCCTCCTGTGTTCACTGAGGTGTGAGGACTGCGTATACGCTTTCCCACATTCTTCACATTTGTAGGGTTTCTCACCAGTGTGAATTCTCTTATGTTTAGTAAGGTCTGAGAACCATTTGAAGATGCTGTCACATTCCTCACATTTGAAAGGTTTCCCTCCAATCTCATTTCTCTGATGTTTGGAAGGATTTGGGCTGTGGTTAAAACCTTTGTACCATGTTTCACATTTGGAGAGCTTCTCTCCAGCAAGAATCAGCTGTTGATTAGAAAGGCTTGAGCAAGATATAAAGACACTGCTGCACTCTTCATATTTGCAGGGTTTTTCCTCAGTACCACGCTCACGTTCAGTAAGGTGGGAGTACTGGTTAAATACTTTGCCAAATTCTTCACATTTGTAATGTTCCCCTCCAGCGTAAATTCTATTTTTAGTAAGGACTGAGCAAGTTTTAAAAACTTTGTCACATTCTTGACATCTGTAAGGTTTCTCTCCAGTGTCAATGTTTTTATGTTCAGTAAAGTGTGAGCACTGGATAAAGGTTTTGCCACATTCTCCACATTTTTGGAATTTTTTTCCAGTGTGAATTTTCTGATGTTCAGTTAGGAATGAGAACATTTGAAAGGATTTGCCACATTCTTGACATTTGAAAGGTTTCTCTCCAGTATTACTTATATTATGTCTATGCAAATTTGAAAAGTTATTAAAGATTTTAACATATTTATTACATTGAAAGATTTTGCTATGGGTAGTTGATGAACATTGGTTAAGTTCATTACAATCTTTTTGCAACTTACACTCATTTAAACTTTCCCAGTCTTTCCTTAAATGTAAATTATCAAGGCCACAATTTCCATATCCTCTCAGTATTGGTTTTGGGAACGCATCTTGTATGCCCTGCTCTGGCAAAAGGTCTTCGGTAACATGAGAAGACAGAGCTGGAAAAAAAAAAAAAAGTTATCCCACTTACTAGACACAGATGAATATATTTTGTGAATCTAATCTGTAAAATAATGCCAAATACATTAGCAAAATGGCATAAAAAATACCACAGGCCCTAATTTCTGTATAAACATATAAATGTAACAATACCTAGTAAGAAAATGCATCTGAACTCTAAAAACCACTTCAGAGTTTGCAGCACCCCCGGTGAGCACAATGCTAGGAGCCACATAAAAAGAAAAAAAGTGTGTTACATTTACCCCCCACAGCCCCTGCTCCTCCGCAGTACAGCACAATGCCTTTGAGAGTACATCCTCAACTCCTGGCTTCTCCTTCAAAAGAGAAAGAAAGTACTGGCGCAAGTATTTTTACTTTTGGCCTTTTGAAGCTTTGGCAAAGACTGATTTCTGCCCCCATGACAGAGGGCTGAGAGAAATGGCGGTACTCTGAGTGACAGGCTGGGTCTGCTGAGACCGAAAGGAAATACCTGTGACAGCAGCAGGAAGGCTGCAGCAGCAGCACCAGGCAACAGGTGTATTGGGTGATTACAGGGCACTGTGAAGAAACCTGAGAAACTCTCTTTAACTGAAAAATACACACACAATCCCACACAAGACACATCTGCAGAACAGGCTTAAGCGGCCTCTAGAATCCGGCCCAATTTGTTTTAGACTACCCCAGGAGAAAGCCACATTATAAAGATTGTGGCAGGAGGCTTTTTGTTAATGCCTGAATCTCAATCAAAGATTACATGTACAAAGTATTAGGGTCACATGGCGCAATCAAATAAATAAAAAAAAGTTCAAAAATCAACCCTAAAACAATGGAGATGCATAAATTAACTGAAAAAATAAAATTACCATTTGAATAATGCTCAATGAGTAAAAATGGGAAAACAGCAAACTAAGTAAAATTAGGAAAATGAGGATATCAATAAAAAGATATAAAGTATGAAAAACAGACTGAGAAACAGGTATGAAAGGAAATAATTACTGAGAAATTCTTAAAAGTAAGAAAAAAATATTTAAAAATTAAGAAGCTCAACACATCAACTAGTATAAACAAAAGGGACATAAGACACATTATAACCGCAGTTTCCAAAGTCAAAGGAGAAAATAATCCTGAAAGCAGCAAGTGAAAAGCAAGGTGTATGCTCTTAGGAGATTACCCGTGAATTTGTCCACAGAAACCTTGAGGGCAGGCTGGGCACAGTGGTTCACACCTGTAATCTCAGCACTTTGGGAGGCTGAGGCGGGCAGATCGCTTGAGCCCAGGAGTTCGAGACAAACCTGAGTAGCATGGTGAAATCCCATCTCTACAAAAAATACAAAAAAAATTAGCTGTGTATGCTGTTGCGCTTCCCAGCTACTCAGAAGGCTGGGGTGGGAGAATCACCTGAGCCTGGAAAGTTGAGGCTGCAGTGAGCCATGATCACACCACTGCACTCCAATTTGAGTGACAGAGTAAATCCTTGTCTCAAAAAAAGTACAAGCTGAAGCAAGAAGGGAACTGGATGAGACAGTCTAATTGTTGAACACAAAACTTCCAAGCAAGAATAATATAACCAGTGACCTACAAAATAAAAACAAATAAAGACTTTCTAACATAACCAAGGGCTACACTACCACTACACATGTCAAACAAGAAACGGTAAAAGAGTCCTTTCCATTGAAAATAATGCAATGCTAGAAAATAATATATAATCATATCAAAATAAATATATGGAAAAGATATGCATACACAGAAAAATAAAATTCTGTGGTACTATAATGATGGTGCAGAAATCACTTTTAATTATTATCTAAAATTTGAAAGACGAAAGTAGAAAAATAATCATAAATATCTGTTAATGGATATATAACATTAAATGATCTCGTGACATTAGTAACAAAGTTGAGGGCAGATTTAATAAGAAAGAATTTTTGTATACAAGTAAGGTTAAGTATTTGCCAGTGTAAAATATCTTGCTGTAACTTTAAGATGTTTTATATACTTTCCATGGTAACTACAAAGAAAATGTCTGTAAGACACACAGAAGAAAATTTAAAAAGAAGTCAAAGCTTATTACACAAAGTACAAGACACAAAAAAGAAAGGGAGAAAGAAAAAGCTACAAGAATCAAGTAAAAAAAAATACAATGGCTAAAGTACATCTTTTCATATCAGTAAATTGTTTATTTAGGAACTAAACTACTCAATCAAAAGGCATATGCTAAATAATTTAAAACCAAGCCAAGATCAAACAATAGCTGACCTACAAGAAATTCACCTGAGACCTAATGACAAAAAGAGACTGAAAGTGGCAAGATGGAAATAGACATTTCATGCAAATGTTAATGAAATGAGAGAAGAGATTACAATTATATTATGCAAAATACATCTTAAGTCAAAAAATGTCATACTTCATAAAGCATACTTTAAGTCAGAGCTCACAAAAAACAAGAACATAAAACAATAATAGAAGGGGGAATGAACTGGGAACCTATGACAAGTGTGGATGCATATTTGTATATGTATTTGGGTACTGAAGTAACTTCCTATTATATTGCTATTTCTTGCTTCAGTTTTGCAAGTTCTTTATAAACAAATAATTACAGCATTGAAGCAAGAAACGGACAGCAATATAATAGTGGCATACTTCTAGAACCCACTTTCAGTAATGAATAATAAAGCAAGACTTAATAATTGTAGAGAGGACCTGAAAGCACTACAAAGCAATTCCACCTCACAGACATAGATACAACACCCCACACAACACGGCAGGAGACACACTCTTCCCACGAGCTCAGGAAACATTCTCCAGGACAGGCCACCTGTTAAACAAATAAACACGTCTTACCAAATTTCAAAAAACGGAAGTCTTCTGCATTACTATATATGACCAAAATGAAACGAAACTGGAAATAACAAAGAAAAACAAAAAAATTCACAAATATATGGAAATTAAACAACACATTTGAGCGTGCTCTTGTTCACGGGTTGAAATACTCAATATTGCAAAGATGTTCACGCTGTCCAATGCAATCTACAAACTCCATGCAATCTCTTTCAAATTTCTAATCCTCTTTCTGCAGAAATAAAAGCAATAACCTAAAAATCCTAAGATATCTCAAGGGACTGTAAAGCACCCAACAATTTTCAAACAGAGGAACAATATTGGAGGTATCACACTGTCTGACTTCAAAATACATTATGAGGCAACCGTAATTAAAACAGTTTGGTATTGGTATAAAGGCAGACAAATAGTACAATAAAACAGAATGTAGCACAGATTTAAAAATAAAACACAGAAAAATAAAACTGTAAAACAAATAGCTAAAATATGGGATTTATTGAACACCATGATCTAAACCAATATATTCATGAAAGAAGTCTTACAAAAAATACATAGCAGAAAAGCAGTAGAGGCATTATTCGAAGAAAAAAAGCCTGTTAACTTTCCAAATTTCAGTATGATAAAAATGTTACTAACCAAGAACACCTGATCTAGAATAATTTCACTTCAAAAGAACAAGGGAAAAATAAAGACTTTCCAAAATAAGTAAATAGATGAGGGTGTTCACTACCACTAGTATAGTTCTATAAGAAATGCTAAAGGCTGGATAGGCATGGTGGCTCATGCCCATAATACCAGCTTTGGGTGGGCCAAGGTAGGAGGATTGCCTGAGATCAGGAGTTATGAATTAGCCTGGTCAACATAGCAAGACCCAATCTCTACAAAATACAGAAAAAATACTGAAAAGACTTCATCGTGTTAAAAAAGACAATGATGCTAGACAGCATTATAAAACCGTATGAAAATATAAAACTCTGTTAAAGGCATATAAGCAGATATATAATACTTTACTATCATAATGATAGTGTAAAAAACTCAAAATTCTGCCATAATATCTGAAAAAATGTCTGCATAAATCTTTGCTACCAGATACAAAATATACAATAATTTGTTACATTAATAGCACACTGGAGGGTGTTACAGTTTCTGTATTTAATGAAGTTGTGAGATTAAAATCTGTAACTTTAAGGTGTTTGATGTACTCTCCATTTTTCAAGGCGATCACGAAGAAAATACCTATACAAGGTCTGCAAAACACAATGAGAAAAGAATGAAAGCATGTCCACACAAAATCAACAAAACAAACAATGAAGACAGTCAAAGAGGAAATGAGGGAAAACACGTCTACAAGAAACACAGAAAACAGTAACAGTCAAGATAGTGATAGTAACTTCATTTCCTTCAGAAATTATTTTAAATATAAATTAACCTACTTATTTAACAGAAATAAAATAGCTGAATTAAGAACAATATGCTAGCTACAAAAGACTCTAGCTTTAAATAGAAAAATAGGCTGAAAGTAAGAATAAAAAAAAATTCCATGCAATTAGTAACCACAGTCAGGTGGGGTGGTTATCATTATATTAGACACAATATACTTTAAGTCAAAACTGTCACAGGAGATAAAGATTAATAGCATGTAATGGCAAAATGTGTCCATTAACCAGGAACCTGTAACTGTTTATCTGTCTATATTAATATCTAACATCAGGGTTCCCAGATACATAAAGCAAATATGGAGAGAAGTGAAGCAAGACGTACACAGAAATACAATAATTATCGACTCTAAGACCCCATTTTCAACATAGAATAGAAAATTACACAGAAAATCAAGGCCGGGTGGGGTGGCTCACACCTGTAATCGCAGCACCTTGGGAGGCTGAGGCGGGAGGATCATGAGGTCAGGAGATCGAGACCATCCTGGCTAACACAGTGAAACCCCGTCTCTACTAAAAAATACAAAAAAATAGCTGGGTATGGCAGCGGGCGCCTGTAGTCCCAGCTACTTGGGAGGCTGAGGCAGGAGAATGGCCTGAACCCGAGAGGTGGAGCTTGCAGTGAGCCGACATTGCGTCACTGCACTCCAGCCTGGGTGACAGAGTGAGACTCCGACACACACACACACACACACACACACACACACACACACAGAAAATTACACAGATCAACTTAACAGATACGTATAGAACGCTCCAGTCAAAAAAAGCATAATATACAATATTCTCAAATACACAAAGTGCATTCTGTTACAACAAATAACTCTTAAAAGATGAAAGTCCCATGACATGTTTTCTAACCAAAATGTAATAAAACTAGAAATCAAAAGCAAAAGTAATACTGGCAATGCCAAAAATGTATGGAAATTAAACGCCCTTGAACATACACATTCTTGCTCAATGGTCAGATAATTTAGTTTTTTAAAGATGTCAATAATGGCCACACTAATGTACATATTCAATATAATCTCTATCAAATTCCCAATGGTACTTTTTGATTTTTTAATCCTAAAATTAGTTTAAGAACAATAACTAGTCGAAATTCTTTAAAAAGAACAAAGAGGCATTACACTTTCTGATTTTAAAACATATAAAAAGCTACAAAAATAAAAACAACGTGGTAGTGACACAAAGACAGATAACTAAATGATGAAACAAAGCAGGGGACCCAGAAATAAACTCTTGTGGATAAAATCAAATAATTTTCCACAAGGTATCCATGACCACACAATGGAGAAGAGTCCTTTCAACAAATGATGTTAAAAACTAGATATCTACATGGAAAAGTGAAGTGATATCTTTTTCATGCACCATATACAGAAGTATTTTAAATGAAATACTTAGGTACAGAAATAGAATAAAACTCTTAGAAGAAAATATAGGAGAGCAAATGCATAAGCAACAAAAGAACAGAAAAACTGAACTACATCAAACTTCAAACTTTCTGCAAATCAAAGAAAATAATGAGTGAAGTGAAAATGCCACCTAAGAAATGGGTAAAAATACTTGGAAATCACACATTTGACAGGACTTAATATTCAAATTATATAAGGAACTTTTACAACTCAACAACAACAATTAAATAACTTGATTTAAAAATAGATGAAGGACTAACTGAAATCTCTTCAAAAAAGATATGGAAACGCCCAACAAGCACCTGAATGAATGCTCAAATTACTAATTTGTAGAGAAATGCAAAACAAAATGACAATTAAGCTATTTCCTCACACGTATTAGAATGGCCACTGTAAAAAAAAAAAATTCAGATCTGTCAAGGATGTGAAGACGTTGAAAATCACGTAACCTGCTGGTAGGAAAGAAAGGATGCAGCCATGATGAAAGACAGCATAATAGGCCAGGCGCGCTGGCTCACAACTGGAACCCCAGCACTTTGGGAAACTGAGGCGGGCGGATCACTTGAGCCCAGGAGTCCGAGACCAGTCTGGGCAACATGGCAAAACCTTGTCTCTATTAAAAATACAAAAGTTAGCTGGGTGTGGTGGTGGGCACCTGTACTTCCAGGTCCTCGGGAGGCTGAAGGGGGAGGAAGGCTCGAGCCCAGGAGGCAGAGGTTGCAGTGAGCTGAGATGGCGCCACTGCACTATAGCCTGGGTGATAGAGTGAGACTGTTTTTTTTTTTTTTTAAATAGCATAAATGTTCTTCAAAAAATTAAAAATGGAATTAAATGATCCAGCAATCCCACTTCTGGATCTATATCAAAAGTACACACTGCAACTCAGGACTTAGGAGAGATATTTGCACACCCATGTTTACTGTGTCACTATTCAGAAAAGTCAAATGGGGGAAGCCTCAAGTGATGAACACACACAAAAAATGTGGCATCTGCATACAAGGAATATTATTCAACCATAAAAACAGTAATACGGAGTTACAAAACACTAAGATGTTAGTCATAAAATCTGCTATGAAACACTGATATACCATTAAAAAAGAACTTGCCTAGATAACTACAATATTTAACTGTGACTATGTAATCATGAAAAGCAGGTATTTTGAATCACTGGCATGCAGTGTACAGCAGTGAAACTTCACAGAAAATGCACTACAATCATTAATAAAAGACTCTACTGAGAACATTTTAATGAGTAAGAAGATACTAAAGATAATTTTTATTATATGTTTACTATACTGATGCGATTCTTATGCAAAATTAAAATGCTGCCATCCAACTTTTAGAAGCAAGGAATAGCCTTATATTTCTAAAGAAAGAAAAATATAAATTATGTAAAGTATAGTGAGAGTCACTGATATATAAAATAAACATTTGGGAATAAATAACATTACTATTTATATACAGATTGAAGAAATAGGATAATTTAATAAATATGGAGTGCTTGCCGGGTGCGGTGGCTCATGCCTGTAAATCCCGACACTTTGGGAGGCTGAGGCAGGCAGATCACCTGAGGTCGGGAGTTCGAGGCCAGCCTGACTAACAAGGACAAACCCCGTCTCTGCTAAAAATACAAAAAATTAGCCAGGCGTGGTGGCACATGCCTGTGTGTAAATCCCAGCTACTCGGGAAGCTGAGGCAGGAGAATCGCTTGAACCTGGGAGGCGGAGGTTGCAGTGAGCCAAGATAGTGCCATTGTACTCCAGCCTGGGTAACAAGAGCCAAACTCCATCTCAAAATAAATAAATAAATAAACAAATAAATAGTGCTTACTAAATAATTTAATTCAGACATAACACGTTAATTCTAGCATATTGTTCTGCATATTAGAATTTGAAATTAGAGATAAATCTGAAATGGAACAGAAGAGAAAGTGAAAATGTACAGGAGAGTGACACAGAAAAATGGTGAAATAGGTGGACCAGGCTTATATATCCCCCAACAACAACAACAACAACAACAACGTGTCAGTCTTCTGTGTGCAGAAACGCCTTTCCAAGAGAATCAGGCACCGCAGCTCACGCCTACAATCCCAACTGTTCAGGACCTTGGGGTGAGAGGCTCACTTCAGGGCAGAAGCTCAGAAGCAGCCTTGGTGATAGAGAGAGACCTCATCTCAAAAAAATGCCTTTAAGAGAGCTTTGGAATCCAGGAAGGGGGTTGTAAAATTCTGCTAAAGACCAAGACCACAGATTCAACAAACTTCTTATCAAATTCCAGCAGCCTTTTTCACAGTAATGAAAACAGAATTCTAAAATTTATATGTTATTACAATAGACTTGGCATAGCCAAAGGAATCTATAGGAAAACGAACAAGGCAAGAGACATAATATTTTCTGATTTCAAGCGACATTTTAAGACTACAGTAGTAAGAACAGGATGGTATCTGAACAGAGAAGAAAACTGCCAGAGAGACCAATGGGACAGAACGGAGAGCCCAGAATTAAACTCATGCATATCCACTTAACTAATCTTTCAAAAGTGCACGAAGAATACACAACACAGACAGTATAGTCTCTTCAACACTTGGTCCTGGGGAAACAGAATACTCACAACCAAAATAATGAAACAGACAGTTTTTCTTACACCGTACTCAAAAATTAACTTGAAATCAAGCCTTAAATGTAAAACATGTATCCTTAAAAACTCTGAGAAAAAACCTCTTTGATATTGGTCTTGGCAATCATTTTTTAGATATGGCACCAAAAGTACAGCAACAAAAGTAAGTATCAACAAGCTGGACGGCATTACGCTAAAAAGCTTCTGCACGCCAAAGACCACTGACAATCAAACTTCTGGATATTAGGATGGCTACTATAAAAAATAAGCAGTATATCAGGGCTGTGCAAAAGTAATTGTGGTTTTTGCCTTCTAAATAGTAAGAAACACTCTTACTTTTGCAGCAACCTAACAACAATGTTGACAAGGATGTAAAGAAAAAACAATTCTGAACACTCAGAGTTCTCAACTGGTACAGTCATTATGAAAACCAGGAGGGGGCGTTATTTAAAAATTAAAAAAAGATAAACCTACTCTACAACGCAGAAATCCCACTTCTGTGTATATAATAACTGAAGGGAATAAAAGCAGCAGCTTGAAGAATTATCTGCTCCCTCATGTTCACTGCAGCATTATTCATAATTGTCAAGATACAAAGACAAGCTAAACGTTTGTGGATGCTGAATGGATAAAGAAAATGTGATATAAATAGACAACAGAATATTAGCCATAAAAAAGGAATGAAATCCTGTTATTCAACAACATGGATGACCCTGAAGGACATGATGCTAAATAAACTCAGCCAGGCCCCAAGACAGAGATTGCACGTTCCCCCTCAGATGTGGAATCTGTCATGGCTGAACTCACAGGAGCAGGGGATGATGGCAGTTGCCAGGGCCTGGAGTTGGGGAAAATGAGCTGTTGTTCAAAAGGTACAAACTTTCAGTTGTAAGATGAGTAAGTTTGGGGAATCTAATGAGTAGCTTTATGAATACTATTAATAATCTTTTGTATGCTTAAAATTTGCCAATAGTAGACATGAACTGTTCTCACTACAAGGTAATTATGTGAAGTGATAGATTTATTCCTTAATGTGATTGCACTAATTATTTCACAATGTATACACATATCAAATTATTACATTGTACACAATATACACACAGTTTTTATTTCTAAAATAATCTGTTACACATATGCCCATATAGACACACCTGTATATATATGTGTGTGTATATATGGATAAAGAAAATATGATGTAAATAGACAACAGAATATTACTCCAGCATAAAAAGTGAAATCCTATCATTTCAAAAGGATGTTGATATATGATATATACACACATATATGATATATACACACACATATATACATACACATACACGTACATACCTATGAATGACACAGTCCTGATAAGCCTCATACTAAAAAAGAAGAAATTATAAAATGATAATATTATAACTATTACAGTTGGGAGTTAGGGAATATAGAGTTTAAATGACCAACCTCAGTTCACACTAAAAAAAAAATAAATAAAATTTTGAAGTAAAATAACATTAGATCATCTCATATTTGGGCAGATGCCTAGTGTTCGGAGAAAACTGCTGGGTATACATTTCTGTAGACTCCCATTTGAAATCTCTGTGGGATACAAAATCATAAAGCAGAAAGCACACAGCATCTGTTTATGGGACTTCTGGGATTTCTGAACCAAACACCATCACCACGCCTCTTGCACACTTCAGACATGATGCAAAAAGGAAATCAAAAAACATTTAACAGAGTTCCTCAAACATAGGCAGGTACATGCAGGTTCCCAAAAGCAGTGGCAGAGCAAGACATGAGACCACACAGGCCCTTACTCGTCAGGAGGAGGATCTGATTTTTACTGTAACTTTTATAAAGGAAGATCACTAAACAGGAAGCGGAGTCTGTAGAAAATTTAAGAGAATGAGACAGAAGACGCTCCTAGGGGACAGCAAGAGAAAGACACCCAGGCTCTCAGAAACCACCTCCACTAGAGCAGAGCTTCCCAAACCACATTTTAAGCTCTGGCTCTGGCTTCCTCCTTGACCTCTGGACTTCTCACCTGGGTTACCTGCTTCGTTCACGCCCACTCACCTGGATGTCCGTCTACTGCCTCCTGTCTCTTCACATTCCAGGGCTCTTCTCTTTGCTCCAGGCAGGTGATCAGGCCTGGCTTAGAGACAGTGAGACCTGTTTTATTAGAAAAAAGTGACATTACTCTTGCTGAAATTCTCCAATTACCAACCTTGTACTGTGCTTAGTAGAGTGAACATTATAGAAGATTCTAGAAAATTAATCCAAAACTTATGCTTCCTGACATAACCTTTAGAATATTCAGTAAGTATTGTAAATCTGTGGGTTCTCAGTTTCACCACTCAGTACTGCTGAAATAAAACACTGGGGGTGGAAATTTGACTTTAAGGTGTGGGCAACAGTATTTCATGCCACTGAATCTCTGGAATTATCACTAGAGTGAAAGATACAAATCAGTTAAAAAAAGGGAAGGTTTATGTCAAAATGAACCACGTTATGAAGATTTTTTTTTTAATATCAACAATTCCCCATGTTTTTCTTAAAAGCAGGGATCTGAAACTCATTCATGCAATGCAGAAACTCCCGAAAAACATTCCGCAAAGGAACGAAAGGAACTCTTTAGGGCATATGAGGAATTACGTATTGAAGTTATCCTCACCAATGGAGAACAAGTTTCTGTAGTTCTCCAACATCACATCCCTGTACAAATTCTGCTGAGCAGGGTCCAGGCATTTCCACTCCTCCAGGGAGAATTCTATGGCCACATCCCTGAACGTCAACAGTGTCTGAAGAAGAAACAACAACAACAACAAATACTTACCAAGTGGCTTTCGGCAGAGTTCTTAACTTGATTCAAGGTGAAATGAGCGAGTGAAGAGAACTGGTTCTAACTTATACAAGTGACTGGAATTATAAAATAAGGTAATTTTTAGCACAAGAATATTCTCTAACTCTGAGGAAAGAGAATTGCCTAAGATCCACATAAGCAGTGTACACACAATACTTTTCTGGATGATGAAGTATAAAATTAAGGGCGTCAACAAAGGCATGTCCATTTTTGAGTGCTACATTTACGTCACATGAATAAGGTGTATATATTTCTCAGGTGGAAAAGTCATGGTGAGTTAGAAGCTGTCTCTCCAATTTTAATGTGTCCAATAAACTAGAGTTCTTGTGCAGATTTTGCTTCAGGAAATCGGAGGTCAAGCCTGAGTTTCCGAATTTCTAATGCGCTCACCAGTGATGCCAGTCCTTTGGGCCCAAGGACAATATTTTGTCAAAATCCTGTAAGTGGCAGAGCATGGGTTTATCCCGTTTTTCTGAACCACAAAGAGAGATCAGATTCTTCATCTTCTAAAGCAAGGCATACGCAAAAAGAATCTAAGAAGCAAAGACCTTTCAGATTAAATGTGATTATTTATGCACACTAATTAGTAAATCTCCTCAAGGTACTTAAAGAGAAAAAAATAAACTCTACAATGGAAAAATCTGTCAGAGAGCTCTTTCACCAACTGAATAAAACTAATATCAACTGTAATAGGACAGATTTTTATCATGTGTCAATGCACAGAGAAGGACATATTACTGGTGTGATATTGGCCAAAAAGTCAATTATAATCTGAATCAAATCATACTGAAACTTACTGTTATGCAAAGTTCAAGTGACAAATAAATATCTCCCGTGTTCTGACAAACAAATATCTCCCAGGTATTGCGGCATTTGGCCAACAGCCTGCAATGCAACGGGGCTCCTTCTTTGTTCCCAAGCAGATCGGCAGGTCGAGAAATAAAAGACACACACAAGATAGTGAAAGCTGGGTCCAGGGGGGTCCCCACCTTCTGGTCCTGCGATGCTGCCAATGCACTGGATATACCATCATTTGTTATTAAGTTTAGCGAGGGTGGGGGTAGGTTAGTGAAGGATTTAGGGTCGTTTGATTATGAGGTGAGATGGTCACATGGGGATGAAGTAATTCTTTTTTTTTTTTTTTTGAGACAGAGTTTCGCTCTTTTTGCCCAGGCTGGAGTGCAATGGCGCGATCTCGGCTCACCGCAACCTCCGCCTCCCGGGTTCAAGCGATTCTCCTGCCTCAGCCTCCTGAGTAGCTGGGATTATAGGCATGTGCCACCACCCCGGCTAATTTTGTATTTTTAGTAGAGACGGGGTTTCTCCATGTTGGTCAGGCTGGTCTTGAACTCCCGACCTCAGGTGATCCACCTGCCTCGGCCTCCCAAAGTGCTGGGATTACAAGCGTGAGCCACCGCGCCCGGCTGAAGTAATTCTTTAACATAACATTGGTATGCAGAAGTACAGTATACAGAGATAAGAATTTACGATATAGTGTGTGTGCATCAGCAATTTCTAACAGAGCCTTAAAACACAAACACAGTCTATCCATAACCTATGATTAGCAAGATATTAAACAGCAGTAACAATGGCAGCAAAAGCTGGTTACAAACAATCAATGAAAGCAGGACGTGAAACTAGACAAACGGTTAGACCACAAATTCTCAGAAGGGAGTATGCCTTCACCCTAAAGAGGCCTAGAAGAGCCGTGGCAAGATAAGGGCGTTTATAGCCCTATCTTATCCATGTGGACAGGTGCCCCCCATGTGTCCGTTTATAGGCTCTCCACAAGGGTCGCATTCCATTCCCAGAGCTATGAACTTCTGCTTTTATGGGATAGGAATCTTGGTGATGTGAAACCTCTCTGACTGCACGTCCGTTCATAGGCTCTCTGCAGGGGGAAGCACATCACATGCTGTTGGTTCATTCTGGCAGCCCAACCCGGCATTGTCTACACAATCCTGCATGCAATTTTGTATTTACAACAATTAGGAACATTTCATCTTTTATTCTGTAGCAGTAGTTTCAGGGGTTCTCCCTACACCCAGGTTCTGACAAATACGTCCCAGGTTCTGATAAATAAATATCTCCTATGTTCTGACAAATATCTCCCAGGTTCTGTAATCTCTTCTTTTGTCTTGAGACGGAGTCTCACTCTGTAGCCCAGGCTGGAGTGCAGTGGTGTGATCTCAGCTCACTGCTACTTCTGCCTCCCTGGTTCAGGCAATTCTCGTCCCTCAGCCTCCGGAGTAGCTGGAACTATCCACATGTGCCACCATGCTTGGCTAGTTTTTGTATTTTTTCAGTAGAGATGGGGTTTCACCATGTTGGCCAGGCTGGTCTCGAACTCCTGGTCTCAAGTGGAGGCCTAGGCCTTCCAAAGTGTTGGGATTATAGGCGTGAGACACTGCGCCCAGCAGTAATCTCTAATAGTGTATTAAAATAGTCTTTCTTTAGCATTCTAAAAAGCAAGTGTCTTTTCATTTTTCTCTTTTCCAGAATGCTCTGAGTTATTCTGGGCAATAAATGTCATCGAGTTTAAATGTTTATTTTCTTAGTCCTGTTCTGCATGCAGCTAATGGAGCATCCAGATGAAACCTAAACAGTGCACGTTTCCCTTCTTTGCTGACCCATCCAAAAACCGCACCCCATCCTCCGAGAGGAATCCTGCGGTATCCACACGGTCCAGTGCCACGAATAGAACGTTTTTATTTTTTTTTATTATGTATTAAATTTTTTTCTGAACCGGAGTCTCCTCTGTAGCCCCAGGGCATGAGTGCAGTGCCGATCTCACTCACTGCAAGCTCCGCCTCCTGGGCTTCACGGCATTTCCAGCCTCAAGCCCTCCCCGGATAGCTGGGACACAGGCGCCCCCACCTCGCCCACGCTATTGTTTTTCCATTTTCTGCTACCGTCCTTAGTAGACGACGGCTTTCCCACCTGTAGCCCAGGATGGCCGTCTCGATGTAGAGATACCCGTCGACACAACTCACACCCCTGCTGGGAACAGCTCTTCAGCCACCGCCGCCCGGCTGAACCAAGCTTTTTTTTTTTTTTTTTTGAAACGGAGTCCTCTGTCTCCGCCCAGGCTCGTGCAAGTGCCAGATCTCAGCTCACTGCAAACCGCCTCCCGGTCCCATTCTCCTGCCTCAGCTCCCGCAGTACCTGGGACCACACGCCGCGCCACCCCTCGCCGGATATTTTTTGTGTTTTTTAGTAAGACGGGGGTTCGCCCGTGTTACCAATGGGTCGATTCTCCTGACCTTGTTGATCCCCCGCTCCGGCCCTCCCAAGTGCTGGATTCAGGGCCTGAGCCCACCCCCGCCCGGCTCGAAGTGAACGTTCTGTAATACGCAGGTCATAAAGATCATGGTGAGAATTCTCATGGCAATAAGAAGTCAAGTGAAGAAAAACAAGAGACGCCTTGTGTATGCCAGAAAAATATGTTCAGAGACCCTTCATTATTATAAGAAAAAAAAAAAAAACAGTAGCTGAAAATAACTTAATTATCCCAGAAAACACCACAAGTAGAGAAGTAAAGGTTTCCAAATTCTAAACACATGACATTTCAGGAGCAAAAGTGGACACAACCCCTGACCTGAGATGCATTTACCTGAGCACCAGCCATTTCTTTCTCTTTCTCCTGCTTCTCTGGGATTTCCTCTTAGGAAAGATCTCTGGACAAATCACACCTGCATCATGAGAATATGCCTTTAAAGGTGTCAGCACAACCCCTTCACCTGCGACCACCACACCCATCAACGGAAAGACGTAGAAATACAGAAAAAGTCCACGCTTTTCTGTTCTTTATAAAAGAGATTCAGCAACAGTAAACTTCTACATGGAGATCAAAATGTGACTTTCTCTCTTCCGGCTCTCAGGTTCCCTCCCCTGCTAAACAAAAGCAATTCTGCTTTGGCAACTGAAGCATAAACTGCACCGAGCTGGCCTCTGAAACCTAGGCAGAGAAGGCCCTGTGACCTTCCTTTGGAACCAAGGCTGAACTCAACTCGTACAAATGCATCTGAAATCCCCCATCACTGATTCTGGCCACACCTTAGAATCCCATGAGGCATGTGATTTAAACAGCACTGGTGCTTCCACCCAAACCAATAGGCAGAATCTGTGGGGAAGGCAATGGTGAGGGCCTTTTCTTGAGTTGTCCATGTGATTTACTTAGAAGCCAGGTTGAGAACCATTTAGCTAAGCCTTGCTTCTCAAGCTTCAATGTGCATATGAATCTTCTGGTAATTTTGGCCCCACTCTGAGTCAAGTGATCCTGAAGATTTCAAAGGGGTTCATGGGCTGGATTTTTTTTAACAGTTCTGCCACTAATGGTGATGCTGCTCCCCCAAGACTTGTGATCATCAACACTCAGCTAAACAAAGCAGCCCCAGCACAGGCCCTTACACCCAACCCTCCTACCACAACACAAGTTCTTGTGGTGCAAATGGAGACAGTCAATCTCCATTCTGAAAGATTACATTATTTTCTGGCTCTTGAAAGTTTTCCAGGGCTGGAGAAGGAAGCAATGTCTGAGTCTGTCTGCATCTGGAAAACAATGTGTACACACATATGAATGCAGCGTTTATTAAGCAGGCACCGTGTGCTCAGAAGTATGCGACAGCACTGTGCTGGGCACCTCACGTCATGTGAGCCAATCCTCATCACACCCTGGGTGATAGAACCAAGTGTCCCACAACTCTCAAGATATAGACGAAGGGCCCAGGCTTTGTAGTTCTTCTATTTTCCTATCACTAACTTTTTAAAAGCGTAATGATAAAAGCTCCATATAGACCGATGGAAGGGATACAGAGAGGATGAAGTACAGTGCAGAGGTACTTTCCATTGTTGCGTTTATCCTCACTTTCTTGTGGCTTGTGAAGCAACTATTAGACCCACAGGACTGAGAAACAGGTTGCTGGATGCGATGTCTCTAAAAGCACTGGTGTTAGTAAAAAAGAAAAAAAATTAAGGCCCCAAAATAGAGAGTTCTTTTATTCCATTTATCTGCTTTGGGGTTTCAGAAAATTCTGTGTATTAGTTCTGGAGAGGCAGCAGGAGTCAAACTCTGATTTAACTCCGTAGTTAAACCCCAAACTCTGATTTAACTCCGTAGTTAAACCCCAAACTCTGATTTACCTCTGTAGTTAAACTCCAAACTCTGATTTAACTCTGTAGTTAAACCCCAAACTCTGATTTAACTCTGTAGTTAAACTCCAAACTGTGATTTAACTCTGTAGTTAAACTCCAAACTCTGATTTAACTCTGTAGTTAAAC